TTCTTAAATTTTCTGATTTTCCCCCCAAATCGTAATTTAGACCCATTGACGCGGTCTAATTGGATGTGGGACACCCTGTATATTCAGATTAAGCAATCGCTATTTAGTGTATTTAATTCTAAAGTTTTCAACTTAAGATGCATAACCTTCATAATTGTTTATTTATTTTCACAAAAGTACTAAATGATAAGTTGTTAAAGGAAAAAACTTTAAGTTTTATATATTGCTTAGGGCAGTTTTTAGTAAGTTCACTGGTTCTAATGTTCATAAAAACATTTCTTTCTGAGATAAAAGAATAAAAGCTGAAAGTCAGGGTTTTATATGAGAATGAGTAGAAGAAAAACAGCGTAATTACTAGATATATCTTCCACCTAGAAAACAACAGGAAGATAAAATATCTTTGAAGCAAAAAGTTTTATATCCTTGACAATTACTGGAAATGTCACGTAAACTTGTGACTTAAATACTAGACTAATACTATATATACAATTAACCCTGAGTAATTTGATGTTCCGGCCTGAATTTCAGCCTAGAATAGTAGTAAAACGGGACAGTACCATCCTCTTCTAAGGCTAATACTATATATACAATAAACCCTGAGTAATTTGATGTTTCGGCCTGAATTTCAGCCTAGAATAGTAGTAAAACTGGACCATCCTCTTCTAAGGAGATTAATGGGAGCTAGCTCTAGGTTTGCGTACACATTTTTAATTTCTATCTTTTTCTGTAAGAATTCTGTAAGAGTTAAAATTCAAAAGATTTTCGAGTCCTTCCCTGTCATAAATCATACACCTTTTTTTGGGGTGATATTAGGCACCAAAATATGTGGACCAGTCCGGCTCAGCTGGATAAAACATTACGCACAATTTTGGCAGATTAGTATTTTTTTTATTTGATTTATTTTTTTCTACAGAGAAAATGAATAAAATCTCGTTATATTTCCTACAATTTAAACAATTTGAACCATTATTTAACAAAAGCCTGAAATATAATTATTTTCATTCTCTTCAATGTTTCTATTTTTTCTAAGGAAAATTGTTAAGGTTTCCATGTTTAGTGAACACGTTAATAAAGTTGCAACTTTTTAAACTTTTCCTAAAAGACTTCTTCTAACTATATCCTAGCTCTGTTTAATTCAAGGGATCGTTCATAAATTTGAGATAATAGAAAAGAATTTAAAGATATTTTAGTTTGTAATATATCAATATTTGACCGAATTACTCCTTCTAATCTGAACGTGAAACAAGCGCATTGTAGTAGCAAAATCTTCATACCCAGAGTTTCAAAAACGCATGATTGGATTAGTAATGTCAAACCAGAGTTAAGACTTATCCTCACTTTATATTTAGCCATCAGGTCTCACATGTTCGAAATCATACTGCAAATAAATCTCTTTGATTCTTCATAAAACTTCGAGTTGACTTTTAAAATTTATAATTAGTTTTTAATTTTATGATCAGTTTTTAATTTTATAATTAGTTTTTAATTTTATAATCAGTTTTTAATTTTATAATCAGTTTTTAATTTTATAATTAGTTTTTTTTTATAATTAGTTTCATTATTTTATAATTAGTTTTTAATTTTATAATTAGTATTATAATTTTATGATTTAGTTTTGATATTTTTGATAGTTTTAAATTTTGAATGAATTAATTCGAATAGAAGAAATTGACAATACATTTTTGGTACTTTATTTTGTCATAAACAAAGTTATAAAATTAAATTGGAATAAATGCCATAAACGATTTAAGTTTCTAGCATTTGCATCCGCAGGGTTATTATCCATAATTAGTTTCCATATGTTCAAAATTTCATTATTTAGTAGATATTTTCTGCTACGTTTTCAAATCTTTTAAAGTTTGCTGACAGTAAATATTTTTCATGATTTAGCATTTTATTTATTGCTGTTGAGCACATTCTTCATTGGAAAAACACATGGAGAAATATGTTTTCTAGCCTTATTTTCAATGGTTTTGTGTAATATTACCCCAGTTAAAACCTTTACGAAAAAATACATTAAAAGGTTTGACAATTTTTCTTTATTTTTGAAAAAGCAATATAACTTACAAGTTTAAACATCAAGCTTTTCTAGAAGTTTTATAATTCTTCCAGATCAAGTATAATCTTCCTAAATCCTCTTCCGCGACCTTCAATCACGAATCTTTAAAACTATAAAAAGATTGTCATTCTTCAGATAATAGAGTCTCCGAACACTGTTCTCTTGTTCTTTAGTTTAAAAAATTATTCTTCTGTTCTCCTGTTCTCCAGTATAGAAAACTATTCTTCTGTTTTTCTGTTCTCCAGTATAAAAAACTGTTCTTCTGTTCTCCAGGATAGAAAACTATTCTTCTGTTTTTCTGTTCTCCAGTATAGAAAACTGTTCTTCTGTTCTCATGTTCTCCAAATTAGAAAACTGTTCTAATGTTCTCCTTTTCTCCAGTATAGAAATGTTCTGCAATGATGTATATTGTTCTCTGATGAAGTAAACTATTCTTTGATAAAGTATACTGTTCTCCAATGAAGTATAATGTTCTCAGATGAGGTATTATGTTCTCCAAGTAGAAGTAAACTGTTCTCCGATGAAGTAAACTGTTCTCCATTAAAGTATAATGTTCTCCAATGAAAAACTGTTCTCCGATGAAGTATTAACTGTTCTCCAATGAAGTATAATGTTCTCCAATGAAGTAAACTGTTCTCCAATAAAGTATAATGTTCTCCAATGAAGTAAACTGTTCTCCAATAAAGTATAATGTTCTCCAATGAAGTAAACTGTTCTCCGATGAAGTATTAACTGTTCTCCAATGAAGTATAATGTTCTCCAATGAAGTAAACTGTTCTCCAATAAAGAATAATGTTCTCCAATGAAGTAAACTGCTTTACAATGAACACTTTTATCTGCAAAGTACTGTTTTTTTTATAAATTATTCTGTAAATCTTAAAAAGTTTATTCTCATGAGAATTTAAAGTTCTAATGATAAACTTAGAAATGCAAAAAGAAGTAAAACATGTTTTTTTACAAACTGCAAAATTGTGCATAAATACCATAGATAAATAAATAAACGTAGATAGCTTATGTACGAACTCATACTTCTAGGGGTCAAAGTGCACTTCAATGATAAGCGGGGTGGTTTGGTGTTTTAATGGATTTCGTAATAGAGTGTAAAATAACTCCGGGAATGGAACTATTTGAACAACAATATTTCACTGAGCAATATATCATATTGACGAGAACTGAGGAAGGACATGAGAAGGACTAAACTAACTTAAATTTCTCTATACAGAACTCATGTACACCCCAAGTACTCAATGACATAAGAACAGCTAATGTTCACAACCGACCTAGTTAATCTATATAATAGGAATATCTTTATAACATCTCTGTACATTTATATCGTTCAAGATGAAAAATGTCGTCTTATGCGCAATCTATCTTTATCTATGATAAATACCAATCATAAATCATAATGTATGCTTCATAATTTTCGTATTTATAATTGAATCTGAATTAGCGCCAAACAAACACAAGGGCGAACTTATTTTTAATAGTTTATTTTTAAAAAAAAATATTTATAAAAGATATTTACAAATTTGTACAAAATTGTTTGTATTTGGAATTTGTTGGGCCCTGGAACTTTTGTATTTTAATTTCTATTTTTAAAACGACAATATTTTAGCCCGGCCCGGCGTTGATTGGATTTTACTTGATAAGTTTATCATGCAAAACATTTTCAAAATTATATTATCTACTACTTTTTATTTATGTTCCTTTTTCAAATAAAACGTCTTATAAAACGAAAAAGATTAAATAAAATTTGAAATAACAATGAGAATGATGATAAGGTAAAAATTAGTGAACCCGTTTTAATTTGAACCGATCATTGAATTCTTCCCATTTTGAACAATTTTTGTAGCATTGAACCAGATTTGATGAATAGAAAGACGTAGTTGAATTGTGTAGACTTGGTTGAACTATTTCTTTTCAACTTATACCAAGAATATTAGTTCAACTTGTTCTCGCTATTTGTTACTTAAATCAGGTTTAACTTAAATGTTTAAATCTTTGTTAAATAAATTTATACTTCTTATTCAACATGTTGTAAAAGGCATATGTGTGTTAGAAGCTAAATATTCGTGCATTAAAACTCTTCTATTTCTTCAAGATTTGAATAGAATATTTTTAAAATATTGAATTCTACCAATCCATCAATAACACTGTAAACATACCTCTCAATATCCAAACCAAACTAAATTCCACAAGAATATTCTACGTTTTGAATATACAAATATATGTAATATATTCGCTTTCAGGCTGCTTCGGGCTCATCTTTTTAATTATTAAATCATGTCAAAAATGTCAAATTTTGATATAACCGGAGCCCAGCCAAATTATATGTTAGATTGTCAAATTTTGATCTAACCGGAGCCCAGCCAAATTTACCAAAGTAGCTCTATTCTTTGAATGTTGATAAATTTCCATTCAACAAAATTTGATGAATTATGCTACTAAGTTGATTTTGGGTTCCGTGCTACAACAAATTTTGTCTGATAACAATTTGACTTTATTTTGAGATTTGAAGAAGAATTACCAATATAGTATTCGCAGATTTTTCCTTTTTCTTGGTGGATTTCCTAAGTTTGAGTATGCGTAGAGGCAACATTTTTTTCCTTCAACCGACCGTAACCTTTCCCTGGAGTCATAAAAAAGATTTGGTCCGATTGGTTCATCCGTTTTGACGTTTATTGGATACAAATACTAACAATTTATGGTACAGTTTAGAATATGATGATCATGCTTAAACACTTTTTAAAACAAGACAGGGTATTAAAAACATATTTACTGATATTGGTGCAGACCATGGCCTTGGGCGGAAGATTTAAATGAGATTCTAACAGACATCGCCTTGCATTCTTCAGAGTTGTTATAATTTTGTGATTGTTGTTGTTTTTGTTGTTGTTGTTGTTGTTGTTGTTGTTGTTGTTGTTGTTGTTGTTGTTGTTGTTGTTGTTGTTGTTGTTGTTGTTGTTGTGGTTGTTATTGTTGTTGTTTTGTTGTTGGTGTTGTTGTTGTTGTTGTTTACTGTTTAACCTCATGCATATCTCCATGAGTGTGTAGTATTCTAATATCTGCAGTACATCTAACCATTGTTTGATCAAGTTTAACAGGAACAGATTGTACATTGTACTCACATGGTAGAACCTAAACATAGAATACATAGATAGGACAATTTAATTTTGATAAATGAAGTTGTAGACTTTAAGAACAATTAAAGGATCTATTATTATAATTTCAACTGACCCTTTAATAGTTTTGTATGTTTTGTATATTTTGTATTTGGGGGTTGAAAGAAGGTTAAAAGGGGGGTGTAAGGGGGAATGAATGTCTATACTGCATTTATGTTCGAAGTTTGACACAGAATACATCTAGAAATGCAGGGAGATGACCATCCAATTTTCCAGGAGAAACTTTATACAAACTTAGTTGATAGCACTTAGTTAAATAGTTAGGATAAATCAATTAGATTAAACTGAAAGAATTGATCAAGAGAAGATATAGCACTGATCAAATAGATATAGGTCTAATCAAATAGACAGGATTGATAAAATAGATAGAATTGATCACATAGATAGAATTGATCAAATTTACACAATTGATCAAATAGATTGAATTGATCAAATCGATAGAATTGATCAAATCGATAGAATTGATCAAATAGATCAAACTGATCAAATAGATCAAACTGATCAAATAGATCAAACTGATCAAATAGATCAAACTGATCAAATAGATCAAACTGATCAAATAGATCAAACTGATCAAATAGATCAAACTGATCAAATAGATCAAACTGATCAAATAGATCAAACTGTTCAAATATATCAAACTGATCGAATAGATCCAACTGATCGAAAAGATCAAACTGATCAAATAGATAGAACTGATCAATTAGATTAGACTGATCAAATATATAGAAATTATCAAATATACGGAAAAGATCAAATAGATCAAACTGATTAAAAAGATCTAACAGATCAAATAGTAGACTGATTGAATATATAAAACAGATCAAAGAGATTAAACTGATCAAATAGAATAGATCAAATAGATAGAAATAATCAAATAGATATTAGACAAATAGACAATGATAAAAGTTAAACAAATAATATGCAAGAAGTTGAGAAGTAAGAGTTTCAAAACAAAATCTTAACAAATTCTGTACAGTCGTCTCTGAAGTGTTATCTTTTACGAGAAACAAAGCCGAAGAAAATTAGATTTTTCTCTCTCATAGTTGCAAAAATATATACCTTGTATAGGTGTGGGTACCTCCACATTAACAAATTAAACCACTCTTGATCCCCCACAACCCAACCCTAAATGTGAATCATTAAATTTTTTTAAATTATTAAAAGTTTTCTAAAAGTTTAAAATGTTGATGCAAGTTATGCCAGACAATTAATAAATATGTTGTGTGAAAGTAAAATGTGTCGATCCCCATTTACAGGATGCCTTAAACAATTTCAAATATAACAACTATTTCAGGTTTCCTGTCTAAATATTGATGATTTGGTGTTTGCAACAGGAGATTTGCAGATATCTTTCACAAGGAGAGTGACGAGTCAAGAACGTTATTTTTTTCAGATAAGAAAATATTTCTTGCAGGTTTCAGTAAACATATTTTTGTGAATTTTCATAGAAAAGAATAAAAAACATACTTACATTTACTTTGAAATGATTGTAAAGTTGTTTTATTCGATTTATTTGAACTTGCTCCAAATATAATTCACTCTTTCTCATTTCCTCTGTTAACAAAATAAATAAAATTCATTCTGGTAATTTTAAAGTAAAGTGGTTGTGAAATAGAGAACCAACATGGAAATAATTTCTAACTGTGACAAGACTTTTTAAATTAATTCCCCATTAAAGGGAGTGACCGGCAATGTGTAGTGGTTGATTGCAGAATTGTAGAGTAATTTTTTAAAGTTCATTTGAGACATATATATAAAACGTTTTAAATATTTATAATTAATGAGTTTGAGCGCAAAATAAACATTCCAAAACATCTATTTGGGTGTATACGTTTTGAAAATCGTTTTTTAATTATGAAAAAACAAAAAATGTAACAAAATCAACTTCAGTAAACTAATTAGTTGATTAGGAACAGGTTGAGAAAACAAAAATTAACTTTTATCAAAGAAAATAAGTAATCTTATTTAATTATTAGTTTCTGTAATCTCTCATTATTCACAAAGATTTCTGTAGATTTTCTGGAATTTTTATTGAAAAGACAACATTTAAAGAATTTGAAGAAATCTGCAATCATAAAAAAAAAAATTTTAATATACTGATGAAAACGAAATTATTGATTCTAACATTGATTTATTGACAGATTTCTTTTGAAAAATATGTTCCTAAACATCTAATTAGTTTACTATAGAATTTTTAAAATGGTTCAATGGTTTAAAAGGATTTACTTATCGGACCTACCACTCTACAAATTGAGGGTGACATGAAATTACGACAACCTTCCCTTTAAGTTAATTAGATCCCTTGATAACTCCTTAAACCTGAACCAGATAAATTCCACTGCAAAGTTTATTCCATATTCTAAAATATTTCAGAGATTAAAATTAAATTCAAGTTTAAAACTTTAAAGTTTAAACTAATTATTTCCTGAAATTGATTTCTTAATCCTCACAGATCATAGAAAACGATTTAGTAAATATTGTTTCTCTATTTGATTATAAATTACTTTTACAAAATGTTCTGTTTCACTAAAATATACATTTAGTTAATTTCCTAGATTAAAAAGAACCACTCCAGTATTTAGTCCGAGTATTTTATCCTGGGGTAAGCTTACACCATTAGTCTAATATCAGGAATATTCAAATCAAATAGAATTAATAATTTTTTAATCAGCACTTTTTCTCAAAAGCATTAACAATAAATGTTATAACTTAACAATAAAATAGTGGGGGGGATTAATTTAGAGGCTTTTCTCTGAAGGCCGATTGGTGCTTTGGATAAAGTCCTTGTCTTTGCCCAAAATTCAAATTTTCTAATTCCTATATCATTGCAACACGATGTCATAGAACTCAGATTATTTTACCTAACAAGACTTATAGTTTGAAATATCTGAGGTCTATGACATCGTGTTGCAAAGATATGGGAATAAGAAAATCTAAGTTTGTGACGAAGACTGAATTCCTAAGGAATATTGTTATAAAGCTTATTAAATTTATGTTTAATCCGTCCTAGCACCTTAACCTATAATTTGAACATCCATATTTTTTAATATCTAAAGGGGCGGGGTATGTCTTTTAATAGCTATAGGGGCGGGGTCTGTCTTTTAATAGCTATAGGGGCTGGGTCTGTCTTTTAATAGCTATAGGGGCGGGGTCTGTCTTTTAATGGTTGAGTTGTTTAAATATGTCTGATTCCTTAGTTATATATTCTGACATATGGAAATAGTACCCAGTCTGGTCTAAAACCACGCCGATCACCTCAGAGCTAAATAAAAATGAATAAAATGAAAATATTAGTAAAACTCAGAATGCTTAAAGGGACTGTAAGGGTAGTTTCAAGTGACCCTCCATGCAAAGATTTATTCTTTAGCTCATCATTAACGTGGAAGAAATTAAAAGTGTTTAATTTTGATATATCCCACATGTTTTTTTCCGGTAGGAAAATGCGCCAGTCACTTTCACCCCCAAATTTAAAATTATAAACATTGATATATATAGTGCATACTGGATTAGGCAAAGCTTTCAAGGGTACTGTTGTGAATCGCGCATTGCCATCTTTGTATGGAGGGTCACATGAGATGACGTTTATACAGTCGATCCCTTTAAGTAAGTCTCAAATAATTATCCGAAAGTATAAACGAGCAGATTCTTCTCTTTGTTCCCTCCAAGGCCGATAAACAAGTCAATTAAGAAGCAAACAACAGAAAAATCTAGATCTTAAAGGTCTTTGTCACAAACTCGAATTCTCTGATCCTTATATCTTTTCAATCTGATCGAGGCCGAATTTAAAGAATTTGAACCGCGGCTTAAAATTAAGCCACGGCTAAAATATGGTTGGTTCCACTTTAAATTGTATTTAATTTTTCATGATTTAAGCCTGCGCTCAATTGAAACAGGTTTTTGAGGGATTTGAGACCCGGCTTAAATTCATTAAATTCGGACAATGATGGTGTAAACCTTTGAGATTTCAAACTATTTTGAGACTAATGTGATCTAACAGAACGATATAGATTGACATATCTAAGGCTACGATCGACATAAGGATAGACAAATTTGAAAATCAGAGTTTGTGGCAAAGACTCAATTCCTTCGAAAAGCCCAAATATGAAAAAAAGAATAAATTTAATTACAAAACTTTTATTGAACAAAAATATCTAATAAACCTGTCCATGGTGTCAAACTGTTTATTAAGAACTGCTAGGTCTTCCTTTATCTCTAGGTCTACATCAAACACCATTAACCTTGATTTATTATATATAAGCACATATACAACATTTTATATACTTTTTATATATCTATTTATATATATGGATCTATACATAAAATGTTTATATATTTTTATATATATGCATATATACACAATTTTTATATATTTATTTATATATATGGATCTATACATAACATTTTTATATATTTTTGAGAATTATCTTCTATGTTTATAAAGAACTGATGATAGGTCTTTCGGTAATTAAAAAAGATATAATGTTCCTGAATACCTTTTAAATAAAAACCTCTATACATTACCATTTATTAACTAACAGCATGGTGGTGCGGGGTGGGGCACCCTATCTAAAATTGTGTGGAAACTCCCCATTAGAAAATTTCATAATCCAATCCTGATCCCGAAATATATGAACGATTCCTCTAAAAATGTCTTTTCTTCTCTAAATTCTTCATTTTGAGACCCCCCTACACTCCACAAGGAACCCCCATAGCCCCCCTTCTCAAGGAACCCCACTAAACCCCCTCCCCCGGCCCCTGAATACATTGTCAGTGCCCGGGGGTAATTGATGTTTGAACTAGAATTGAAAAAGTTCTACGCAGACCTGGGTTGTTTAGCCCTCTAGACTCAGCAGATAAAATCTACTATTTAAACTTTTATAAAAGCAAAAACTCACTCTTCTGATGAAAACTCGAATAAAAGCTGAGAATTAACTGCAGAGCCCGAAACTTAAGACAAGGTATCGAAATAAAACCCAGTATCGGAAACCCGGTTTCATGGAAGGGGTCTAACAGTTTCGTAGATAATATTTTTGTTAAGAAATATCATTTTATAGGGGTTCTTTATATTCTTTTTGTTTTTTGATTACTTAAATTAAAATTTAAGCAAATGTGATGACCTCTGAAACTCTGAAGTTTCGTTTAACGGTACTATGTTAAATTTCTGGCTCTGGAATTCTGGAAATAATTTAATCATAAACTTTTTAGACTACGCATATGTACACCCTACAGTACGTGTAAGGTAATGTAAATTGCACAATTCACAGTTAACAGTACAGTGTACATTAGTATAAACATTTCTATATTACCTGTTTAAAGACGGAAACGAAGTATGATAGAACGGGCCAATGTAAAACAAATCCTAAAACATGATGAAATTAACTTAAAGTGAGCATGAAGACCTTAATGTCTGAGTGTAAGACTGATAAACGTTATGATTTTAAATAGTGCAATGAATATGAAACAAAGCAATTGTGCAATGTAAACAGATCCATTTTATTTAATACGTTGATTTTTTGGTTTAATAACAACATAAAATAAACACAAGATTACTAAAATGTCGTCTTCTCATTTCGTGTTTTTGTGGGTCTTTCTGTATTTAAAAACTTTTAATTTACAGAACTTTTCGAATTGTATTAAATAAATTGAAACTAAAAGTATAATTAATTATAACTCGAAGGAAAAGTATTATTGATAAGTATAAATTTTTCCTCCCCACTCGCTATACTAACCCATAGACCCCTCCCCCCTCCCTCCTCCTGTCCATAAGCAACTCTTTTATAAGTTTGCGATGTTTGTGTCAGGGAGGGATTCTCCAGGACAATATTACGTTGATAAATCCCCAGCTTTTTCCTCAACATTAATCTTAATTCTTTTCTCATCTCTCTCTTCCTAGTTTTCATCTTGTTATTATTATATTGTTGATCTGTTCAGCCATGTTTTAAAGGGACTGAGTTCGTTTTTTCAAGGGACCATTCATTTAAAGAATGGCGCAACCACGGAGTAACATAGTGTTACCATTAAAAAGTGATCGTCAGGTTTTCGGTAAGTGTGTAAATTTCATTAGCTCTATAGTGCATTTTTTAAACAAGTTTTTTTAAAATATATTTTTTATATAATATTGGGTATATATACAACATAAATTAGTATTCTTGTAAATGCTGATTTTGTTTCTCTACAGACACAGTACAAGCCACACGTCTGCAGCCTTCTTGTTGTTCCTCTTTTATTCTTCTATCATTCTTATATTTCCTTGCTTCATGCTGATTATACCATCTTTTGGCGCTTTTTTAAAAACAAATATTGCCATTGGATAAAAATCCCTATAATGTCTGCGTTATTTGAAATATTCTGTTTCTTTAAGTTGCACCCTGTGTTTGTCAGTGTGTCAAAGTTGGAGTTTTGCTGTTAAGGTGATTGGTGAAATGCCTGAAATATGGTATTGCAGAAATCTTAAGCTTGGTGCTGAATTGACTTTAGAAGAAAATGCTTTATACACTTCTTGGGAGCAAAGAAAGGGAAGTTGTCAAAAATTGGCTAACATTAAGACAGAGGGATATAGATTATAAGGTGGGTTTTTGGTTGAGCTGTATTTTCCTTTCTGTTCTTCTTTTACTCTTTTGTTTGAGCAAATTTAAACTCTTTTGTTTGAGCAGGGTTTAATTGGCATTAAAAAATCCAGATTACCCTCACAGGTGTTTTGATGGATCCCCACAGTAAATGTCCTCTGAGATGCAATTAGCTTTGTGGGAAGAGGTGAGGTTTTGAATTTAGGAAGGTAGGATGGGGATATATTCCCCTTGTTGACGCATTTCCTGTGAAACCGTTTAATACAGCTTATGGAGAATCTTTCACTAACCCTGGGGAAGCCAGCAGTTTTCCCTTGATGAGTCCATCGTTGAACAAGGTAGATGAAAAACCAAGTCAGTAAGTATGTTTTTAACAGTTCGGGAGATCCCTGCCCCCTGGGCCCTGGCCTGGCTTCACACAAAGTTTCCTATCGTCTACATTTTGTGAACTTTAGGAGAGCCCGAGAGAGCACTGCTTTCTTTGCCGGCTTGAAATAGACTTTCGTCTCTATAGTGCATAAATAAAGGGCACCATGTGAATTGGACATACCAGTATGTTTCTTTTTTAAAAAATATATCTGCGAAATCAACACTGTTTGCGATTATTAACCATAAGATTTGCGATTTAATGTTTACAATTAACGATTTTTCAAGACACAGTTTTGTGATTCAAGAACGGAGAATAATTGAATTATACTTTATCGTCATATTCTTGTGATTCAATAATTGAATAATTTTTTAAATGATCACATGAACCAAGGGAAGGTTTTTGGATGGTCAGAATTACAAAAAGTTTTCTCCAAAATATTTTAATCTTCGTCTTTATAAAATCCCCGAAAACATTGTAGATCTGCAAAATATTTTATCATTGTTTTATCGATGAGAAAAATGCTGAAAGATCAATCGAAAATTAAAAGATGAAGAAGAAGATGGGCGCGGATAGCCTTGTTTTAATATAATTCTCCTCTCTTCCTTTTTTATTATTATTTTGTTCATAACATGCTCTTCGTTCTTCTTCTTTTGTTTTGACTGTTTGTTGTTTTATGCCGGAAAATGCACTTCAGAATCTCTTCCGGTTTTAGTTCCGATTTTCCTCTCCTTGCTCTACAGCCTGTAAAGCAGTATATAGTCTGGCCATACCGTTTGAGAATCCTCGGGATACAGTTTCATGTTGTTTCTCTTTACAAAAACCTCGGGTGGCATTTCCATATCCTTCTTATTTGTTTCTATATTTTTTCTTTATATCTATTTTCTCTTCTTTTTTTTGGATGCTTTCATTATAATTTTTACCATTATTATTTAATGTATTAGTATGAAGAACTATATTTTTATATTTTCAGTTTTTATTGTATTACTTTTTCTTATCAGTTTTTTTTCATTATTTCTCAACGATGTTTAAAATTTAATATTTTTTTCTCAATCTATATATATATACTTTGCTTGTCTGTTTGTTTGTTTTGTTTTTTTGTTTTGTTTTACAATGTTCACATAGAGAACATGTTCATAATTATAATAGAAATTGGACGCGAAGCGCCCTAAAAGCCTAGTATTCAAATACCTCTCTGTACTTGGGTGAAATAACAACAACAGCACCCTCATGTTTCAAAGGCAACGTTTCTAAACATTAAGAAATATATTTACTAGAAAAAATTAAAAAAACGAATTATGATTATTAAAAATTTTACCTTCTTTTGAAAAAAGTGTCTTCATTACGTCTATAGTTTCCCTGTAGATATATTTTTTTCATTTTTAAGACAATTGATAGTTGCAGATTGCTTTTTTTATTATGATAATTTCTCTATTTGCGTACTGAGTGTCCCGTATTGGAGTATCTCTAAACTTTAGCGACAAAATATAATACTCGAAAAACCTAATATTTTCTGCAAACAAATTTTTTATATTAGACTTATAGAACTTTTTCATTCATTCTTTTTAAATTTTCTGAGTAGTACCTAAAATCGCGAATTAGAGCTATAAGCTATCTAATATTATGTGGAACACCCTGTATAATATGAACTCTTTACAGATTCTATATGATAAGTATTGAATTTTTAAAATCACAGGAAAAAGTCCCCGCACCTTAAAGACTGGACTCAGAACAAATTTGGGGCCCAATCGGTTCATCAGTTTTTGGCCAGACAAAATTATATAATTCTTATGTTTAAGACTAAAAACAATACTAATAGCGTGAAAAAAAATATTAGACTAAAAGCTAGTTAAAAGCTATTCTAGTTGAAACAGGCGGAAATTTGCCGCTTTGTGATTGTAAATTTAACCAGATGCAACTAAGTAGATATGGAATATTCCATTCTACTTGGATGCAGCCTTAACTCAGACCGTATAGCCTAGCTGCATCAGCTAGCCCCGCCTACTGTAGCTGGTGTACCAGCCGGTGCAGTACAAACTAAATGTACATGAGTTGAGTGTGAGACTATTGGGATAAAATATCTACCAATTGAAATAAACTAAACCATTAACAATGTCTCAGCAAATTCTTTCCAATATCAGTCCTCTCTCATAAAGTAAAGGTTTTCAATAACAACAGACTACAGTCAACATAAGAAAGAAATTTAATTGGCTTTGTGTCCTAATATTCCCAGGGGTTAAATATACAAATATATACAACTTTGTTGAACTACAAATAGAAAGAAATTGATTACTCGCCTCATCCTTAAATTTTAAACTTTTGACTATATTTGATCTACCAGAATCCGAACTATTAAAGTTTACAACATTTGGTTGTATACAGATAAAGCATAAATTGTTAAACTGTGATTGATACTTTTAAAAAAGGCTATTAAAATAAAATGATATGAATAGCTAAACGTTTTTTCTTTGTAGCGGTTTGCTAAAAATTCATATGTAATTTCGCTAGGGTCTCTAATCGGAATTCCGTTGCGCGGAATTACGGGAAATTGTATGGAATTGAGCTGAATTGTGCTCGAATTGCGCAAAATTGTGAGGAATTGCGCTGTATTGCTCGGAATTACAGCGCTTGAAATTGCACGCAATTGTGCATGGAAACCATACTTTTGCAGAGTGATAAATAACAGTTAGGTTTCGTAGAACTTTGATATTTCAATCCTTGAATTCTTTATTCTGCTACAGTTAAAAGTTCAAAACTTGAAGAAATGCAAAAGTAGATTTTCAGGGGAGTAATCTTGTTCAGTAAAACAAGATGTATGTATCTGATAATTAATTACTTAATTATTAATTATGTATAAAATATTCCTGTTTTGTTGAATAATTGGTGAAATGTTCACAAACTCTACAAAAAATCTAGGAAACGTTATAAACCCATCACGTGACCGCAGGATTACAGACTCGGACAGAAGACGACCTAAATATTATTGAATTATTGGTTTTAGAAAATTATCGATCAGATTAAATAAACATTTCGAGCTAGGTCGCTGAACCACCTACAGCCGGTTCAAATCTTGAATCACCGATCCAATTCCTAAGAATTTGAATCAGTGATTCAGGATTTAAACCAGCGGTAGGTAAATCATCGCGCGACCTCTCTCGGTCCTTGATTTTGTAATAAATTGATAATCAGTAAAAAAAGACAATTTTATGAAAGCTTAAGTGTTGTTTTTATTACTGTTTTATATTTGTTTATGTTTCTATTTGATTTTCTGGTATAATTGTATATAAAAAGATAAAGGGTAGGGATTGGGGGGGATTTTGGGAACGTCCCCCTTCCTATAAAATTGAGGGGACGTCCGCCCCTCTNCCCCCCCCCCCCGGAGAATATTGTAAGCAGCCCATGAAGGATTAAATTGATAACGATGTAAGAAAAGGTGAAAATGAAGATCGAGAAAAGCTTAAAAAACGTCAATATTATTTAATTTATTGATCAGATAACGGTTTAAAGGGGATAAACCCCTCGTCTAATGGAAGGACCCTTCAAGTCACAACGATATCCTTTGGAATAAAAAAATTTTCAACACATTTTAATTTTTAGACTGAGATAAAAAGATAATGAGAACTGACCTATACATTGAAGGATAATATTTTCCACTTTTGGTTTAGAAGTCTCATCTGTGATCAGCATTAGATGTAGAGGGGTGTCCTAAAAACAAATTTCTGGTAGTTTCAAATCATATTTTATATTTCGCAGACTCTTCCGTTAAAGTTCTTTTATGTTACCACAAGAAGTCAAATATATCATCGTTATTTTGTTCTTTAAAACAAAATAACATTTTATCACGCATGCACTTTAGAAATTAAAATGTTAAACAATATATTTTCCAAATATATGAAATAAAAAAACAAATCGACTAAAAAGGTTTTCTCCTCTTAGGATGTCTTTTCCCGAAGCACATTAAATGCATTAAATGCAGAAAGCGGGAAATGATTGTAATTTCAAGTGACCTTCCATTTCATGAAAAGCATGTCCAATTTCCCAATCCTAATTTCCTATCTCTATTCCCAATCGCTATCTGATTAATAATATGTAAGATGTAATCGTTTTTTTAGTATGAAAATTTCCTCAAACGTTTCTGTAGCAGAAATCAAAATGTTACCCCAATTTAAAAATAATGAAATTTTTACGTTTAAAACATGGATATCTCATTCAATCTTGTCCAAAAAAGTATTTAAGGGTACCGTTGTCTGTTGGACATAAATGGAGGGTAACTTGTCATTTTTTTATTTTATTTGTTGTTTTTAGCTTGCATAGTTGTGTAAATGGATATGTTTATATGCAAAATATATATAATACAATATATTTATATATACTAATCTTGTTGCAATGGTTTCTGCTGGAAAGTTTAAATAGATAAAGTTAGGTTTAGGTCCGCTTTGTATATAATATATATATTCTCTCTAACTTTATATATACATTGAGTTCTAGCCTTATATAGAGTGGGTATATGTACACTATACAGGCATGGAGTACTAGGTATATATAGAGCGGGCACAAATACACTGTACACTATACAAACTTAGATACAATGGTTTATACGTAGTGGATATATTTGTTCACTATACAGACAAAGAGTACTAGGTTTATATAGAGCGGACACAAATATACCGTACCCTATAGAAACTTAGAGTACTAGGTTTAAACAGAGTGGATATATGTGACCCCAGGGATGTTGAATGATGATCAAAATTTCAAAAATTAGCCTCCAGCTAAATTCGATTTGCAATAAGTTTGAAAATCCGCAAAATTTTTATGATATCCACCAACTTTTTTTGTTTTTTGCTTTACAATATATACAAAAAGAAAATGTTCACAATTAAAATATAAGATGGGCGCAAAGCCCCCTGAAAGCCCAGTATTTATACATACTAGGCTTACAGGGCGCGTTCTATTTCAATTGTGAACATTACAAAAACCAGAATTGTTCCCGCATCTTATAAAAAAATTTCGTGGATTTTCAAAATTTAATGACAATCAAATTTTGCTGGAGGCAAAATTGTGAAATTTAGTCATCTATGAACCTTCCCTGAGGACATGTAAAGTCCCACACAAGTCCCGATCAGATCAGCCGTTTTGACGTTTATTAGCCACAAACACACACACTTTTTTCTTCCAGATTTAAAATTGTTTTCTTCAAAAATCGATTTTTTTAATTCTACGGACAACGCTGGTTACTTCTTCGGCTAGAATTGTACATAAAGGATGCCATTTTTTCAAAAAGAAGAATTTTTTTTGGATCAAATTGTATGTGTGTTACCTTTAAAGTATTCAGGATGGAATTGAAATTCTTTGAAAAAACTGTCAGTATTTTAGGCACCAACTCCTTCTTACTAAATTTTAAACATTTATTAGTGTTTTATTGTTAGGTTGTTGACCGGAAACATTACAATAAACAAATCTAATTTTTCTTATTTTTAAGATTAATATTTCATTTAAAAACGTCTAAACATTTATTTATTTTGAAATTGTATAATCTAAAAGTTTGTTTATACTACAACAGTGCAGTGGAGATCACAAAACTGTGGAACAGGAATTCGAAATATTTTCTTACTTTACATTTGTAATAATCATTGCAAGATGGATAAACTGAGGATCATCCAGTCTAATATCTGAAGGTTTTATTAGCTCTGTGAATACGACCTAAACAATACTATTATATAATTCAGTTTTAAACTTTTTACTAATGTCGTTATGATTTAAAGGGCACCCATTTCAGGAAGGTCATGCCGATTTACCTGTATCTGATCAAAAATGTAAAAGATAATGTCGTTTTTCTAGGTTTAAACGTATTTAAATCTTGATGAAGTCACAATGAAAATAATCAGTTTTTCAAATTATAAACATGGATATCTAATTTATTTTCAAATTATAAACATGGATATCTAATTTATTTTCAAATTATAAACATGGATATCTAATTTATTTTCAGATTATACACATGGATATCTAATTTATTTTAAAATTGTAAACATATATATCTAATTTAATCTCAAATTATAAACATGGATATCTAATTTATTTTCAAATTATAAATATGGATATCTAATTTATTTTTAAATTATAAACATGGATATCTAATTTATTTTCAAATTTTAAACATGAATATCTAATTTACTTTCAAATTATAAAAATGGATATCTAATTTATTTTCAAATTATAAACATGGATATCTAATTTATTTTTAAATTATAAACATGGATATCTAATTTATTTTTAAATTATAAACATGGATATCTAATTTATTTTCAAAATATAAACATGGATATATAATTTATTTTTAAATTATAAACATGGATACCTAATTTATTTTTAAAGTATAAACATGGATATCTTATTTGTTTTCAAATTATAAACATGGATATCTAATCTATTTTCAAATTATAAACATGGATATCTAATTTATTTTTAAATTATAAACATGGATATCTAATTTATTTTTAAATTATAAACATAGATATCTAATTTATTCTCTAATTATAAACATGGATATCTAATTTATTTTTAAATTATAAACATGGATATCTAATTTATTTTTAAATTATAAACATAGATATCTAATTTATTCTCTAATTATAAACATGGATATCTAATTTATTTTTAAATTATAAACATGGATATCTAATTTATTTTTAAATTATAAACATATATATCTAATTTAATCTCGAATTATAAACATGGATATCTAATTTATTCTTGATCGGAAAAAGCATTCAAGGCTTGAAAGGTATCGTGGTGAATCTGACATATCATGTTTTCACCTGCTTTCTTAAATCTTGTTGTTTGTCCTCGACTTCATCACAATAGACATTAAATACAGGGGTTAATATCAACATTAGATAGAAGATAATCATTTTCATTCAATTCTACAAAATTCTGAAAAGAATGTTATGGTAAATGTGTATCAAATAAAGTCAGTGCCTAAAAAAACTTCCGTTACCAACCACCCCCCCTCTCCCATTTCATTAGGTTGTATGGTGTCCAATAGTAAAATATATAAGTAAATGTGATGGTATGTAATATACTAGGATGACTTGCAATTTAACAACAATCAGCTGATCACCTCAATACTAACAAATATCATATATCTAATATACTATCTTTGCGCAGAGAGTGCAGTGATTACCAGAAACTGTGGAATAGGAAGACGACATTAAATGAATAATCAATTGCATTTTATACTGACTCTTACTGTAGTATCACATAGAAAGTGATAATAGTTCATAAAAGTATGATAATTAACAATTTTAAGCAAGGGTTCGTCAAACTAAAATAAACTTCAAGTAAAATTGAAATATTGTATGCATAGAGAAAGGAAACGAAGAGGTAAAGATTACATTAGATGTACACAACCGACCTTTCTAGTAATTAATGAATAGGTTGTGTACATATGTTTACGTAACTAACTTCACTGTACAATTGTAAATGGAGTGATAGTATTTCTAAGGGGGATTTAATGGAATTCATAGTTTTTTAGATTTTCGCTCTTTATCTAAAAAGAAATTTTTAATTAATTAGATTTTTAATTTTCTACTTTCTTTCACAATACACTCAATATAATATATATATATATATATATATATATATTTTAGTTTTTAACTTCACATTTTTATAAAAAAAAATTATACTAAACATAATGCTTCACGTCTATCATGACGATCCTCAGTAGTTACAATTCATGTATATATGTCGGGGATTAGTTAGACATTTTCTGCGACTTCCTCGCCTAGCTAGCCTGGGAAATCACAACCAAAGCACAACTATAGAAAATGTTTTACAAACGGATAAAAGTGACAAGACAAGACATTCGAATATATATATATAATTACGTTGTCTGTAGCCGGCCAAACTGTGGACCGATTGGGCTGAGATTTTTTTGTGGACACTCATGGGTGTTATTAGGCTAAAAAAATTAGAAACCTTTTTTTCAATATTTTTTCTAAATTTTTTTCTTCTATTTTTTAACGGCATTTTTGGAGAATTCGAAAGAAAGCGAAGGGTCTGAATGGAGTAAAGTGCAAGGAAAGGATAGAAAAGCAAAGATGAAAGTTAAGGGAGGGATTGTTGATGCAAAGATAGATCCAACAGATCTAAACTCTGTTCTTTCTCTCATTGTTCAGGCTATCACCGTCTTAGTTGACCAGCAGGATATATTAAGGGAACACAAAGATAGAATTAATGATCTAGAGAAGCAGAGTAGAGCACAAGGTGACCTTCTTGATGAGATTCAACAACGCTCCATGAAGGGNTCTTATCTTATCTTATCTTACCCCAGGCCCTTCAGCTACTAGTATATATATATGTGATGAATAAATATCTCCATGTAGACTGTAGTATGGACATACATTATGTATTCAAGTGATGTATTCATTATAGGAAAAGTGTTATTGAAAATATATCTAGGTATCGAGACCAGCTTATAACACACAGATAAACAAATATATAAGGGAAAAACACAAATTAGAAGAAGTAAGATTAACTATGATAAATAATAAATGACACCCCGAACTATAATAAACCAGTGCTAGATAAGTTTCATTCCTTCAACTTGTTTTCAATCACTTTTAAATTTATAAAGAATTTGAACTTCTTGAGTTTTTTTTAAACGCAAAAAAATTAAAATCAATTTTTAACGGGTCATGTTGGGATCGAAAGTGATAGCTTGCTGGGACAAGGACCGAAAACTAAAAAAGTCCAATGAGAAAACAGAAAAAGTCCAATGAGAAAACAGAAAAAGTCCAATGAGAAAACAGAAAAAGTCCAATGAGAAAACAGAAAAAGTCCATTGAGAAAACAGAAAAAGTCCAATGGGAAAACAGAAAAAGTCCAATGAGAAAATAGAAAAAGTCCAATGAGAAAACAGAAAAAGTCCAATGGGAAAACAGAAAAAGTCCAATGAGAAAACAGAAAACGTCCAATGAGAAAATAGAAAAAGTCCAATAGGAAAACAGAAAAAGTCCAATGAGAAAACAGAAAAAGTCCATTGAGATAACAGAAAAAGTCCAATGAGAAAATAGAAAAAGTCCAATGAGAAAACAGAAAAAGTCCAATGAGAAAACAGAAAAAGTCCAATGAGAAAGCAGAAAAAGTCCAATGAGAAAACAGAAAAAGTCTAATGGGAAAAATGAAAAAGTCCAATGAGAAAACAGGAAAGTCCAATGGGAAAAAATGAATAAAAAGGGAAGAGAAGCTAAACACAATATAAATAAAAGTAGAAAAACAAAAGCAAGGAGATATCTTAATCTTCACGATTTCACTCCCACTATGCAACTACTGCAACAGGTAGTATAAGAACCATGACAAGTCATTTTCCATCTCTCTTCAACCTAGTTCCTTCTCTCATTTTTACCTTTTTTACCTGGTCTCTAAGGTTCTGCAAGCGTATTTTAATTGACCCTCCGTGCAAACAGGGAAATGCCCGATTTTCAACGGTACTCTTTAAACCTTTGATTCTTCATTGATTACAGAGTAGTCTATGTTTAAATCTTTGGAAAACAACGTGAATTCCTGTAAAACGTAGTGTACGCTGCGCTAAGTATGAACTCAACACAGATGATAATCCTTGTGTCCTTTTTTTACCGAATAGTTTACTTTTTAAACCTGTTTCCAAATATATTTAGATATCCCATTTATTCTCAGGTTGCTAAGCCTTTTTATGGGTAGCTGTGTATGTAATATTGGAGCGCGGTCTCAAAATATAAGAAATATGTGAACAGCTCTCCTGCCGTATGTAATTGGCAATGAGGTTATAGTATTTAGAGTGATGATGTACGCTAATCCTTTACTAATTATATATAGGCCATCAACTATACCGAGAGGTTACTGCATATTTGTTTATTATAAGTTGATTCTGGCCAAACCTATAAGTACATCAATATTAGTAGTTACTAGCAGCTAGTTATAAGTGTACAGTACAGCTAACTGAGCACACAGGTAGCAAACTATCATCCCCCCTGAAGGCGGAAAACAAGAAATATATAGACCAGGAACCGCCATATCTGATGCGTCAAATTTGTGTACTGCAGTGGGGCGATCAAAACAAAGAATTCAGGGGCAAAACATCAATTATGAGGTGTGGGGGGGGGGTGAAATAAAGTATATTGCTATCGTAGACACGAATACTGATTATAAAACGAAAGACTATTTGTTACTTGAGAGTATATGCTTTAAAGACAGGAGAGGGAAATGATAATATCCAAGATTATATTCAAATTGTGAAACTTTATATGGTAAAATTGGGATGTTTTAATAAAAGCAAGAACAATTCCTCACTCCATGGGAATCAATGCAAAGAGGAACTGTTGGCATATTTCAATGTGTAACAGGACTGCACAGTGCACACATAATTGTGTCCCAAATAAATAAAGATGCATGCCTGATTAACTACGGTACCTTTAAAAATTTTTCGGGAAATGCCCATTTAATATTAGTCATTAGTCATTATCAGTGTTTAATCCTTTCTCTTCAACTGCTGTGGGGGCACTGGATTTGTTTACATTCCTCCCACAGTGTACAGTACACAATTTGCGTATATCTGAGTTGGGCGTTCCTGGTCTATATATTTGTTGGCGGAAACTAACCCTCACACCAATAGATTTACTGTTTCCTGGATGACGAACAGGCCATATTTTGGTCTACGGGGATTCAGCCCCCTCAGTACCAAGACCCAAATATAAAAAATATGAAAATTGTGTGCGAATACAGGAACAGGTCACTATGGAGGTCTACAGCATGATGATTTATGTGATGATGACTCTTACTGTTATCAGGGACAGTTGTGTATTATGTGTGCCAATTATCAGTAAACATGCAAATTGTTAAACAAGTTTTCACTGTATTTACAACATCATTTTTGTGCTTTTTAACATTTTGTTTATCATAACATTCTTTGATATTTATATTGTATATTTTCAAGTATAAATAACAAAATTTAAGAAATAGTTTTTACAAGAAAATTTCTGATCACGGATTTATGTCCTGCTAAAAATGATCATCCCTAAAATGATCATCACACAATGAATGTCGATATCATGATTAATTAAACACACTGTATCTCTATTACTATTTTGATCCATAGTAAACATAAAATAGAATGTCGCTTTCATGGTTGAATAAACATATTCATTATATAAGATTCACGTTGCCCTTTTCTAATTGTTTTCCATTTAAATGATAAAATAAAATTAGTAAGAGAGAACTAATATAGAGGGTCATTATAATTAAAGATAGAAGGGTTCTGTCTTCAATTTCCATTAAACTCTAACAAAATGTTCGTTCGATATTGTTCGATATAAGGAACAAAATGTTATGGTATTTGTAAAGGATTGTTTATAAAAAAACATATATACTATATAAGTTGATGTTATGTATATAACTAGCTGAAGTGTCCGTCGTTGCCCGTGGAATAACATTTTTTTAAAAAACAAATTTCAGTCCATTCGGTCCAGCCGTTTGGCCAGCTATAAGGAACATATATAAGAATGTCTTGTATTATAATATAGACTAGCTTGCAAGGGCACGTTGAAGAAGACATTTTTTTTAATTCGAATTACTTAGCCAATGTCAGTGCCCAGGCTACCCATGAGTATTTACAAAAATTTCAGTCCATGCAGTCAGAGGGAACTTATATATAAATGTCTTGTTTTATTATATAGATAATAAGAGGAACATATTTTTCCTTTTAAACCCTAATCTGCTTATATTATTCTCTTTACATAGTGTATAAATCCTCTGGTAAAGTAGGTTCTATAAAATAAATATAATATATATTATATATGAATATGTGAAAATACAATTACATAAAACTTTTAGTTTAGGTTGAAAATGTTCTGTTTTCGCAAATAACCATGAAGCACATACTCCGAACCAATTTCACGCCAAATTGAAGCAGTTTATTTCCAATTTCTC